ACACCACGACGCGGGCCCCGAACGACTCACACCACGAGGAGCCCGAACGAGTCACACCAGGAGGAGGGGCCCGAACGACTCACACCAGGATGAGGGGCCCGAACAACTCACACCACGAGAAGCCCGAACGACTCACACCAGGACGAAGAGCCCGAACGACTCACACCACGAAGAGCCCGAACGACTCACACCAGGAAGAAGGGCCCGAACGACTCACACCAGGACGAGAAACCCCAAACGACTCAAACCACGAGGAGCGCTTTCTCTCCCTCCTCCTCCGCCTCGTCCTTCTCCCGCTCCCCCCACAAGGAGGATGTACAAGGAGGCGGGAGGAAGGAGGAACAGGGGAGATATGCGGGGCCAAGCGGACACACGCCTGAAAAACACGACTTTCGGCATGCTTCGCAAGAGTTGTTGCTGTGAGATGGGCTGGTGGGGATACGCGAAGCGTAAAGAATTACTACTTGGGCCCTTGAGCCAAAACAGTCGCGCACGAGGGGCTCTCGGGCGGGCAAGATGGGGACTCAGAGGATGGGGTGCGGAGGAAAAGGGCAACGCATTGGTCAGGTCTGCTCGACGACCTCGACGGAAAGGATCTTGACCCGCTCGGGCGAGGCGCATCCATGAATGACGACGACGGGGGAAAGATCCTCCCCTAGCACAAAGTCACAGCAGAGACGACCACAGCGACAACGACGACCGACACCACGCGTGCCCATCTAGACTCCCCAACGGGCTTGATCAAGCCGCTTACGGTCTACAAAACCGTGCCGCCGTCACAAGCCCCCACCACCAGGCCAGCTGCTTCTCCCTTCCCCTACCCGGGGGGGGGGGCAGCGGACGGCCACGGACCGCCGCCGGCAATGGGCTCGGCACTCTGGGTGCCAAGCGGACCGACCGTGGGCAATCTCTCACGCTGAACCTCTCAGCGGCCAGTCGGCAGCCTGACGGTGACCGCGAATCGATTCTCATCGTTAGTACTAATGCTGCATCAGCGAGCCTACCACCTCGCTCGATCTCCACAGGAACAGTTTGCTCCTCTGCTAGACAGGCTCCACTGAGCACAAGCTGCCTGGGATGGGCTCCAGCAGGCCCTCCGAGATGCCGCTTCCCTGGGGCGTCCTTCCAGGACAGGCTCCCTGCTCTCCTTGCTGCTCAACGCGCGGCACACCAGTGCTAGCGCCATCCACCTCCCAGCGGGCTCCGCGAACTGTTGTCACTTGTTCCGTTGCCCTCTTTCTGGGCCGCAGCGGAGGGGGGCCCAAGGCGGCGCCGCCACTGTCAGGGCGCCATATCACGCATGTCAAAGCGCGTGCACAGCCAGCGTCTCTCTTTGCGGGTGTGCAGAAAGGGCGAGCCTCGCCCTTCTCGCCACGTCCCGCCTCTGCTTTCCAGTCGGAGGCCCCACGCACGCGGCACCTACCGCCACAGGAAGTTGGCGCGGAGGGCGGTTGCAGCCATCGCGCCAGGCGGACTTCGGCCCGCAGAACCGTTGCGACCTCCATGCCCCCCTCCCCTTCCACCACCTGCTCTCCCGGACCTTTCCCCCCCTCCTCCTCTTCCTTCCTCCCTGTTCCCCCTCTTCCTCCACATTCTCTCGGAAGAGGAGCGGCGGTACCGAGGCCTCCTCCGCCTGTGCCCTCAGCGCCACTGCCCTCGCGGCGCCTCCAGCGGCGGGGGCTGCTGCCGCTGCCGCAGCGAGATATTCCCCATCCTCCTCCTCCGCCTCCTCCTCCTCCTCCTGCTTGTCGTCTCTCCCCCCACCTTGCTTCAAGAGTGGACCTCAATTTTGCATTCCCATCGCCCAAAAGACCCACATCCACTTCATCAATCCCCCTTCCTTAACAATACATCCTCCATGTCGCACCCCGAGGCCAAGCGGAAGCGCGAGCCGAGCATTTCGCCTGAGACTTCCTGACCAGCTATGTCCATGAAGCATAAAGGTCGGCAACAGTGATACAGATGGAGGGCGGGTGGCCTCTAAAATGTGGGTTTCGCCTCAGCGCCGCGCACACTCGTCTGAAGAAATGAAAGCTTCACGGATTGAGGGCGGGTCGTGTTCGAAATGTGGCTCCCGCCTCAGCGCCGCGCACATTCGCTTTGGAAAAAAACAAAAAAGTACGGATTGAGGGCGGGTTGCTTTCAAGATGTGGCTCCCGCCCTAGCGCCGCGCACATTCGCTTTGCAGAACTGCCAGATGCTCACGGATTGAGGGCGAAACATGTTTCATAATGTGGCTCTCGCCCTGGCGCCGCGCACATTCGCTCAGAACAATTGCAAGAGTTTCACGGATCCCCATGGATAACGTACCAGCAACGGCGTTTCGGAGCGATTCACGATTGTTAGGGCGCAACAATTACATTGATTCGCGATGTCGAAATCACAGGAATGGTGATCTGGCACGATTCAGATTCGTCAGGACGCAACAGTCCAGTTGATTGGTGGCGTTGAAGTTCCGAGAATGGTGTCTGGGCACGCTTCAGGATCTTCGAACCACTGTCTCCCAGCAGGGCACTTCCCTCAGTGGAAACGAACGAACCCCAGTGAGGGCCTATGAAGAGGGAGCGTTGGGGAGGGTTTATTCCAACATCGTTGATGAACCTTGGGTTTAAACAAGTCCTCCTCCTCCTCCTCCGCCTCCTCCACCTCCTCATCCTCCTCCTCCTCACCCTCCTCCCCCTCCTCCTCGTCCTCCTCATCCTCAATGGCCATGTTCGGCTCAAGGCGCCTGGCTCTGCCAGCGCTGGGTCCGCGGCTCGCCTGTAAGGCATCTCGCTTCTCGCTCCTGCCGTGGAGGCGGCCCTCAGGGCCAAAGAGCAACGTCTCTGCCTCCTGGGGGACGGGCTCCTCGACGCGCTCGAGCGCCCCTTGGGCTACGTGCACGAGGGCCTGACCGCGGCCGCGCACGCTGCGCGGGCTTCGTCGATCGACGCATGGCCAAGGTGGCCGAGCGCATCGACATCTCGTACCATCTCGTTCGTCACCTGTCGGCGCAGAGGTTCGACAACACGATGGACGAGTTCCGAGCCGCGCACTTCGTGCCAGCACTGGCGGGCGCTGGCGCTGCCCGCGGTTGCGGCCCCGAGACCATGGAGCGATTGAACTTTGCCGAGTTTCAGGGCAAGCAGAAGCAGCTTGAGAGCACCCCATCTTGAAGAAGATGGGCGGCAAGGCGTCGGTCGGGGCTGCTGCCCTGGTGGAGACTTCGACGATCGAGAAGGAGCAGCAGGAGCTCACGGTAGGGGAGGGCGAAGCGCAGGAGGCAGAGCCTGAGGCGGTGTACGGCCTCGTGCGCAACGGATCCACCATGCACAACTCCCTGCAGGAGGAGAAGTTGCATGACTTGGTCGAGTTCGGTGACATGGAGAGGATCGGGAGGGCAACGTATGACTCCGTCCGCCAGGTGGATCTGCCCGAAGTCGCCGACAATGCAAATTCTGAGGGCGAGCCGAGGGTGATTGCACCATCAACCCCATCTCCATGAAGGTGCACCAGGAGAACAGCTGGTGCCCAAGCTCTACCATCACGATTACGGGAAGATCGCGTGCAGGACACCCCTGGGAAGATCGGTGCGGTTAAGGTCGACGACCAAGCGGAGAAGCCCGTCAAGGACAGCGGCAAGAACCCCCCCCCCGCAGGGCGTGATGCCGCTGCACCGCTCCCCTCAGTTATTAGCGAGGAAGCCGAAAGAGCGACTCCGCGCGTGCGACGGCGACCAGGTGATGATCGGGAAGGCTGCGCTGGACAAGCCGAATGAGCTTGAGAGCATCGGCATCCCCGATCATGATGAAGACGACGATCGGGAAGGCGGTGCGGGACACGCTGAAGGAGCTGGAAGGCATCGGCAATGCCATCATCTCGCAGGCTGCGGACATCCTCACGGGCACGAAGCTGGAGCTGAACGGAGCGCAGCAGGAGCTCCCGCAGGACAGCACGGTGCCGCCCGACGCTTTCGACGAGCTGAGTGCATTCCTCGAGGCGCCGTCGGTCCGAGCAAAGGCTTGGAGCCTGCCTCAGCTCGGCCCCAGGGGGCCTCGCTGACCTTCTCGGAGCCGCGGTCGGCTCCCGCGTCCTCTCGGGGCTCCTGGGCTTCCCGGGGTCTCCCGGGCTTCCCGGGGTCTCCTGGGAGCCGGGGGCGTCCGTCTCCGTGGGGCGTTGGGCTCGGCATCTGGGCCTCTCGGCTCTCTGCTCCTCGGGCCTTCTGGCGTCGCGCAGTCCCCGCGAGGGTGGGGCGCGTGCTCTCCGAGATCCCTCCCGGATCTCGGATGGCACCCGCTCCTGCTTTCGTGCAGACTCTTGGAAAAGTACCGTGCTCGGCATGCGCATGGCGCCGACTTGGAGCTTCTGGGCCGCAGGCCCCAACACGCAGGAGAAGGAAGACATCCTCCTCATCCTCCTCATCTCCCTATCCTGCCTCATCCTCCCCAATCCTCCACCCCCATCGTCCCCCTCCTTTTCCTCCTACTCCGACTCCACCTGCTCCACCCCCACCCTTAGATCCCCAACCTCCTTCACCTCCTCCAACTCCTACATCTCCGCCTCTCTCCCGTTCCCCTTCCCCATCACTCATGTCCACTCCTGCTCGACCTGCGCTCGCCACACTTCCTATTATTTCAACCACTCGTTTTCATGTTGAGTCGTTTTCCCTCACCCCCCCCTCGTCCTCTTGCTGCGATACTCGTCCTTCAGATTCCTCCTGCAATCGTGCATGTTCATACTCGTCTTGCCCTTGAAACCCTACTGCTCGGCGTCCTCCTGCAACCCTTTCAACTCCTCTTCCTCTTCCTCACGCAGTCCTCACCTTTTTGCGCTTCTAGGGGAGCGAACAATGGCATAAACATAAAAAATTGAGGTCCGCGCGGATCTCTTGGATCTGCACTGGGGGGCCCTGGCGGCGCCTTTGGCGCCACCCATGGCGCGCTCCGCGCCAGGAATCTGCACGGACCTCCGAGCTGTTATGTTTATGTCATCGTTTGCTCCCCAGAGTCCTGCCATGCGGTTCATCCTGCAGCCCTCCTGTTCGGCGTCCTCCTGCAGCCCCTTCCGAATCCGCCTGCGCCGCACGCGCCGCCCGGGCGCAGCAGCACACTCTGGGGCGCGGCCGCCTCGCGCACGCAGGGAGAAAGAAGGAGAGCAGGCGGGGGGGAGAGAAGGGAGGGGGGATGGGCCCCTTCTCCTCTTCCCCATGTTCCCCCTCCCCTCGTCCCTCTCCCCCACCCTCCCTCTCCCTCACCTTCCCCTCTCACTCCTCCCCTTTCCTGGCTTTCCCCTTCCCCCTCTTCCCTTCGGAAGGTAAGCGGGGAAGGGGGTATAGGGGAGGGGGGGAAGGGAGAGGAGGGGAAAGGAGGAGAAGAAAGGGGAGGGGGGAGCGGCGCTGGACAGGGTGTTGGGAAGCGGCACGGAGTACGCGCAAGAGGGCCTGAGCAAGTAGGTCGCGCAGAAAAAAGCTTGCACGTGGCAGGCGGGGCACACAAGACAGAGAGAGAGAGAGAGACAAGATGAGAGCTGGCCCAGCCGCTGATACGGCTGGAAGCTCCTGGAGAATGTGCCCACAGTTGCAGCACGTATACCTCACCTCGAAACCTCGGAGAGGCTCACGCGACGAACGAGGAAGAAGTGAGCCCGAAGCCGTTGCCAAACTTGCGGGGTGCGAAACCACGAGGCCCGCGGGAACAAGCTGGCACACCAGCTACCAGCGGGCGTTACTCCGACGTGGCAAACTAAAGAGGACCACCCTCGAGGCTTCTGAGGAAGGCAACACAGACCTTGCAGACTAGGGAGGGTGTATGCCACCGCTAACTCCTAACTAGAGCTGGCGGAACACAAATGTCAAGCTCAGCCTCAGCGTGTACGGACCACTCTCTGGTACTCAGCATTGCAGCATTACTTTCTCGGCTCCATTCCTACACGATTCTACTCTTACCCACGCTACTCGACTTCACCATTCCTCATTTCCTCGCTCAACTCTACTCTGCGCGTGTGAGCCTATCTTCACGAGGTGCACCGCTGGTTCCACCTCCCCCTTCCCCCCTTCAACCCCCAAGCCCTGCTCCGAATAGCCGCAGCCGCACGCCCTAGTCCTACCTGACACTGCCGCTGGAGACCACCGACTGCACTGCCGCCGAAGGGCGACGGACCGCCCTGGGCCTCGCGCAGCCGCGCGATCAGCTG